TTTGTTACAGGGATTCGTTCCTGGGTTAGTGTTTCTGTGGTGTGGTGTGTAGTTGTTGGTATTTGCTTCAGTTTGGGGGTTGTCTGTAAGCAAGGACTGGCCTGTCTCTCAAGGTCTGTGAGAGTGAGGGATCGTTTTCCAGGAAAGGTTGTAGATCGTTGATAATGTGCTGGAGGGGTTTTAGCTGGGGGCTGTAGGTGATGGCCAGTGGTGTTCTGTTATTTTCCTTGTGGGGCCTGTCCTGTGGTAGGTGATTTCTGGGTACCCGTCTCGCTCTGTCAATCTGTTTCCTCACTTCCCTATAATCTTGTTATAGATTAAGTTGGCTCTAAAACAAGGACAAAAAATAAAACTAACCAATTTATTTGAGCATAAGCTTTCGTGAGCTACAGCTCACTTCATCGAATGCATACTGTGGAAAGTGTAGAAGATCTTTTTATACACACAAAGCATGAAAAAATACCTCCCCCCACCCCACTCTCCTGCTGGTAATAGCTTATCTAAAGTTGATTATCATACACATTGTAAGGAGAATGATCACTTTCGATAAGCTATTACCAGCAGGAGAGTGGGGTGGGAGGAGGTATTTTTTCATGCTTTTTGTGTGTATATAATATCTTCTACACTTTCCACAGCATGCATCCGATGAAGTGAGCTGTAGCTCACAAAAGCTTATGCTCAAATAAATTGGTTAGTCTCTAAGGTGCCACAAGTACTCCTTTTCTTTTTGTGAATACAGACTAACACGGCTGTTACTCTGAAACTTATCTAAAGTGATCACTCTCCTTACAATAAGAAAAGGAGTACTTGTGGCACCTTAGCGACTAACCAATTTATTTGAGCATGAGCTTTCGTGAGCCACAGCTCACTTCATCAGATGTGTACCGTGGAAACTGCAGCAGACTTTATATACACACAGAGAATATGAAACAATACCTCCTCCCACCCCACTGTCCTGCTGGTAATAGCTTATCTAAAGTGATCAACAGGTGGGCCATTTCCAGCACAAATCCAGGTTTTCTCACCCTCCACCCCCCCACACAAATTCACTCTCCTGCTGGTGCTAGCCCATCCAAAGTGACAACTCTTTACATAATCAAGTCGGGCTATTTCCTGCATAGATCCAGGTTTTCTCACTTCCCCCCCACCCCCATACACACACAAACTCACTCTCCTGCTGGTAATAGCTCATCTAAACTGACCTCTGAACAATACCTCTGAACAATACCTCTGAACAACATACTAATCCACAGAGGTCTCCCTGCCAACACTACAGAAAGAGGGATTCTAGATGGACTCCTCCTGAAGGTCGAAACAGCAGACTGGACTTCTACATAGAGTGCTTCCGCCGACGTGCACGGGCTGAAATTGTGGAAAAGCAGCATCACTTGCCCCATAACCTCAGCCATGCGGAACGCAATGCCATCCACAGCCTCAGAAACAACTCTGACATCATAATCAAAAAGGCTGACAAAGGAGGTGCTGTTGTCATCATGAATAAGTCGGAATATGAACAAGAGGCTGCTAGGCAGCTCTCCAACACAAGTTTCTACAAGCCATTACCCTATGATCCCACTGAGAGTTACCAAAAGCAACTACAGCATTTGCTCAAGAAACTTCCTGAAAAAGCACAAGATCAAATCCGCACAGACACACCCCTGGAACCCCGACCTGGGATATTCTATCTACTACCCAAGATCCATAAACCTGGAAATCCTGGGCGCCCCATCATCTCAGGCATTGGCACCCTGACAGCAGGATTGTCTGGCTATGTAGACTCCCTCCTCAGGCCCTACGCTACCAGCACTCCCAGCTACCTTCGAGACACCACTGACTTCCTGAGGAAACTTCAATCCATCGGTGATCTTCCTGATAACACCATCCTGGCTACTATGGATGTAGAAGCCCTCTACACCAACATTCCACACAAAGATGGACTACAGGCCGTCAGGAACACTATCCCCGATAATGTCACGGCTAACCTGGTGGCTGAACTTTGTGACTTTGTCCTTACCCATAACTATTTCACATTTGGGGACAATGTATACCTTCAGATCAGCGGCACTGCTATGGGTACCCGCATGGCCCCACAGTATGCCAACATTTTTATGGCTGATTTAGAACAACGCTTCCTCAGCTCTCGTCCCCTAAAGCCCTTACTCTACTTGCGCTATATTGATGACATCTTCATCATCTGGACCCATGGAAAAGAAGCCCTTGAGGAATTCCACCATGATTTCAACAATTTCCATCCCACCACCAACCTCAGCCTGGTCCAGTCCACACAAGAGATCCACTTCCTGGACACTACAGTGCTAATAAACAATGGCCACATAAACACCACCCTATACCGGAAACCTACTGACCGCTATTCCTACCTGCATGCCTCCAGCTTTCACCCTGACCACACCACACGATCCATCGTCTACAGCCAAGCTCTGCGATACAACCGCATTTGCTCCAACCCCTCAGACAGAGACAAACACCTACAAGATCTCTGTCAAGCTTTCTTACAACTACAATACCCACCTGCAGAAGTAAAGAAACAGATTGATAGAGCCAGAAGAGTTCCCAGAAGTTACCTACTACAGGACAGGCCTAACAAAGAAAATAACAGAACGCCACTAGCGGTCACCTTCAGCCCCCAACTAAAACCCCTCCAACGCATTATTAAGGATCTACAACCTATCCTAAAGGATGACCCAACACTCTCACAAGTCTTGGGAGACAGGCCAGTCCTTGCCTACAGACAGCCCCGCAACCTGAAGCAAATACTCACCAACAACCACATACCACACAACAGAACCACTAACCCAGGAACTTATCCTTGCAACAAAGCCCGTTGCCAATTGTGCCCACATATCTATTCAGGGGACACCATCACAGGGCCTAATAACATCAGCCACACTATCAGAGGCTCGTTCACCTGCACATCCACCAATGTGATATATGCCATCATGTGCCAGCAATGCCCCTCTGCCATGTACATTGGTCAAACTGGACAGTCTCTACGTAAAAGAATAAATGGACACAAATCAGATGTCAAGAATTATAACATTCATAAACCAGTCGGAGAACACTTCAATCTCTCTGGTCACGCAATCACAGACATGAAGGTCGCTATCTTAAAACAAAAAAACTTCAAATCCAGACTCCAGCGAGAAACTGCTGAATTGGAATTCATTTGCAAATTGGATACTATTAATTTAGGCTTAAATAGAGACTGGGAGTGGCTAAGTCATTATGCAAGGTAGCCTGTTTCCTCTTGTTTTTTCCTACCCCCTCCCTCCCCCCAGATATTCTGGTTTAACTTGGATTTAAACTTGGAGAGTGGTCAGTTTAGATGAGCTATTACCAGCAGGAGAGTGAGTTTGTGTGTGTATGGGGGTGGGGGGGGAAGTGAGAAAACCTGGATCTATGCAGGAAATAGCCCGACTTGATTATGTAAAGAGTTGTCACTTTGGATGGGCTAGCACCAGCAGGAGAGTGAATTTGTGTGGGGGGGTGGAGGGTGAGAAAACCTGGATTTGTGCTGGAAATGGCCCACCTGTTGATCACTTTAGATAAGCTATTACCAGCAGGACAGTGGGGTGGGAGGAGGTATTGTTTCATATTCTCTGTGTGTATATAAAGTCTGCTGCAGTTTCCACGGTACACATCTGATGAAGTGAGCTGTGGCTCACGAAAGCTCATGCTCAAATAAATTGGTTAGTCTCTAAGGTGCCACAAGTACTCCTTTTCTTTTTGCGAATACAGACTAACACGGCTGTTCCTCTGAAACCTCTCCTTACAATGTGTATGATAATCAAGTTGGGCCATTTCCAGCACAAATCCAGGTTTTCTCACCCCCCCCCCCCACCCCACACACACACAAACCCACTCTCCTGCTGGTAATTGCTTATCTAAAGTGACCACTCTCCTTACATTGTGTATGATAATCAAGGTGGGCCATTTCCAGCACAAATCCAGGGTTTAACAAGATCGTTGGGGGGGGGAGGAAAAAACAAGGTGTTTGTCTCTGTCTGAGGGATTGAAGCAAATTCGGTTGTATCTTAGGGCTTGGCTGTAGACAATGGATTGTGTGATGTGTCCTGGATGGAAGCTGGAGACATGCAGGTAAGTATAGCGGTCAGTAGGTTTCTGGTATAGGGTGGTGTTTATGTGACCATCACTTATTTGCCACCGGACTCCTTGTTGTTTTTGTGGATACAGACTAACACGGCTAACCCCTTATATTTGACGAGTTAAGCAGCAAAAGGGGAAGATCAGCAGATCTTCTTGCTCTGACACTGTTTATAAGGATAGCTATGTCAGAAGGGAATGGACCATGGATGAGATTTATCTAGTGTATACAATGGGTCTGCTTGTGTATACAGGATGTTCTTTTACTCCCCTTAATGTTGTTGTTTGTTTTGTTTTGCTGCTGTAGTAAGCAGTACTGGAAAAGACAGGATTTTATCTATAGCATATGAACCCTGCATTAAAGCATCTTGTGCCCTGCTGAGGAAGAACAAATGAGCTGAATGGGTGCCAAAATGGACTTTCTGAGATAAGTTCCTGTTAGGCTTTCACCACAGAGCCTTCTTCTTTCGAAACCACCTCAGATGATCGACCCTTTACTTCCCCTCTAGCAATAAGCATTACAAATTACTCAAACGACTAACCCTTTGTGTGGAGCAACTACTTTTCCATCTGACCTTTACACAAAAGCCAGTTGGCTTTGTGTGACATTGTACACTCGGCACTCGAAGGGTGGTGCAGGCTTCCCACTGCTCGTTTCTGAGCGTGAGGACACAAACACTTCCGTGCCTTTTATGTAGGAACCTCCCAGCGCAGGGACTGGGGCTCGGGCGCCAGGATTTGCCAAGGGGAAGAAAAGTCAGATCGGGGCTAATGGAGGAAGCAGGCGCAGACAGAGCCCTGACGCTGCCCTCGGAGCGCTCAGCCAGACAGAGCTGGAGCTCGCTCACAGGCGGGCAGACAGACAGACAGACAGAGCCCCGCCACTCCCAGAAGCTCACGCAGACAGAGCCCTACCCCCAGAAGCAGACAGATAGACAGACACAGCCCCACTCCCAGAAGCTCACACAGGCAGACAAAGCCCCGCCCCCGAAAACTCACACAATCTTTTCACAGCCCGACCACGCCCAGGCGCTCGCACGGACAGACAGAGCCCCACCCCGAGAAGCGGGGACAGACGGACAGACACAGCCCCGCCACCCCGCGACGCGCACACACGCAGCCGGGCGGCGGGAAGCGGCTGGCGCGGGGCAGGGCGGGCGGCTGTTTTGCAAGGCCGGAGAGTCCCGGAGCAGCTGGGGCCGCAAGCGGCGAAGGCGGGTCCCTCCTGCCTGTCCGTGAAGCTCGGAAGGACCCGCCCGCGGTGCCCCGGGGCACCGGCCGGGTGTTGCCGCCGCTCGCCCCTTTCCGGGACCACATGACGTGCCCCCGGGACGGGACATGGCTGGGCCGGGGCACCGCTCCGCGGGGAAGCCGCTGCTGGTGAAAATAGTGATGGCCGGGGAGTCCTGCGTGGGGAAAACCTCCATCGTGAGGAGGTACACGGAGCCCAGCCCGGCCGGGCCGCCCCCCGCCGCCTCTTACATCGCCACCGTCGGTGAGTGACACGGAGCCAGCGCCCGGGTCCCGGCAGCCCACACTGATACGCCCCCGCATTCACACCCTCACCGACTGCCCTACGCCCCCTGCATTCACACCCCGACACACACTTCTATACACTGCCCTACGCCCCCTGCAGTCACACCCCGACACACACTTCTATACACTGCCCTACGCCCCCTGCAATCACACCCCGACACACACTTCTGTACGCTGCCCTACGCCCCCTGCAGTCACACCCCGACACACACTTCTGTACGCTGCCCTACGCCCCCTGCAGTCACACCCCGACACACACTTCTATACGCTGCCCTACGCCCCCTGCAGTCACACCCCGACACACACTTCTGTACGCTGCCCTACGCCCCCTGCAGTCACACCCCGACACACACATCTATACACTGCCCTACGCCCCCTGCAGTCACACCCCGACACACACTTCTGTACGCTGCCCTACGCCCCCTGCAGTCACACCCCGACACACACTTCTGTACGCTGCCCTACGCCCCCTGCAGTCACACCCCCGACACACACTTCTGTACGCTGCCCTACGCCCCCTGCAGTCACACCCCGACACACACATCTATACACTGCCCTACGCCCCCTGCAGTCACACCCCGACACACACTTCTGTACACTGCCCTACGCCCCCTGCAGTCACACTCCGATACACACATCTATACACTGCCCTGCGCCCCCTGCAGTCACACCCCCACAGGCTGACACCTGAATTCACACCCTGACACGCTTTATTCACACCCTGACAGGCTGACACCCACACATTCACACCCTGACACACAGATATTCACACCTTGGCAGACTGTCTCTCACACTCTTTCACACTGCACAAATATTTATTTGTATCTTCAAGACCGACTTTTATTCATTTGCAGTCTTCACTAAATTAGACATTTAAACACTGATGGTGAGGACCTAAATAGGGGGAAATGCATGGTTCTGTCTTTCCACTCCAAATCTTCCTCATACCAGCTGTCATGTGTTGGCATTAATTAATATGATATCTGTGATGTCCTCCTGTTGGCCTTAAAATTATTATTTATTTATTTAAAAAATGTTATTGCATTAGTGCCTAGAGAATTTAAATAAGGACTTGTTTACACTTACCAGAGTATCCATGAATGGTGATCGATGCATCTGCGGTTGATTTAGCAGATCTAGTGAACAGCCGCTAATTCAACTGCAGATCACTCTCCCGTCAACTCATGTACTACACCAGATCGAGAAGAGTAGGGGGAGTCAATGGGAGAGACATAAGTAGATCTAAGCTATTCACTTAACTCAAATTATGTAGCTTAGGTCTTGGCTACGCTACAGGGGAAATTCAATCTAAGTCAAGGCCCCATTGCGCTAGGTACCGTACACACACACAGAAAATGATACTCCCTGCTCCAAAGAAGTTACAATCTAAAATAAAATGCGTAGTTCCTTCACCTTTAATGATAGGTACAAAGTTAAAATCCTTTCCATTTATTTTACTGACCTTGTAGGTAATGATTTGTCAGGCATAGTGTCTCCAAGAGAATCTCTTCTTCTTCCATAGGTGTGGATGGCTGTGTTTGTAATTGCCTTATTTCATGTGCTGTTTAGTGGAAACTTATAGAAAAAGTGTGCAGAGAAACCTGCATGTTCCAGCAGCTCTGCATATGCCCTGGACCAGCAGTTCTCAAACTTTAGCGGATCCCCTTTTCATTTTAAAACTTTCAGGGACCTCCAAGCCCCCCAGCTCAGCCTTATGACCCGCCACCACTCCATCTCTTCCTCTAAGGCCCCACCCCCACCTCTTTCCGACCCTGCTCCACCTCTGCACCTCTTCTTCCTTGCCTCTCCCCCCTCCCAACCCCTGAGCATGCTCCGTCCCCGTTCCTCTCTTTCCCTCCCAGTGCCTCCTGCATGCCCCTGAACAGTTGTTCCTCAGCATGGAGGAGGGAGGGGGAGGAGTTGATCAGCAAGGCTGGAGGCCCGGGACATGATTCTGCCCCCTCCCCAAGTGTCCTGTCCCTGCTCCTCCCCATCACTCCCAGGGCCTCCTCCATGCCCCTGAACAGCTGTTCTCCAGCATGCAGGAGGCACTGGGAGGGAGAGAGAGGAGTTGATCAGTGGGACTGGCAGCCCCAAACATGATTCCTCCCCCGAGCGCATCCCGTCCCCGCTCCTCACCCTACCTTCCAGCGCCTCCTGCATACTGCTGAACAGCTGTTCCCCGGCATGCAGGAGGCACTGGGAGGGAGGGGGAGAAGTTGATCAGCAGGGCCGGCAGACCCACTGGGGTTTTCTCGGTCTGTGGACCCCAGTTTGAGAAATGCTGCCCTAGACCATCCCTGACCGGTGTTCTTATTGAAAGCCTCATACAGTTATTACCCTTATTAGGAATGTTGACGAGTACCTTTCTCCTCCATTGATATTGATTTAAATATGAATATTTATTGGTTTAAATATGAATACTTAATGTAAGTGAGGATGTCAGAATCTGGCCCTATGAGAGTTGGGTGAATTTGGCCCAGTTTCTAACTCCCTTACTTAAGTTGAGTAGTATCCTACTCTGCAAGTCATTCCATTGAAACCTATACGAATAAGGATAGCAGAGCCTATCAGAAAGGGAGGTGTCGGATAGCGAAATTGACCTTTGAAACCTGTAATAATGATGGAACGTACATCATTCCTTTGGGATACCTGGGAAAGTGAATGTCTGCTTTCATGATGATACCTAATATTGGAAGTGCGCTCATGCCCCTCAGACTTTTTTCTCAAACAGATGGAATTTCTGGTACTCTACCTCTGTTCACTCAAGAATCAAAAGCTACTGTGTATCACAAAACTGATCATATTAAGTGTATTTTCAAAAGTCAAGTCTTATGTGGTTTTCAAAAACTTTTAAGAAAGTTTTATGTCCCATTCATGCTTTAAGCAAATTATCCAAATCTGAATAATGATTATTTGCATCTGGTTTCAAAATCCCAGGCAGGTCAATTTTGTGGTATACATTGGCCCTAGATTTTTAAAATCAGTGGGCTGCGCTGGTGATAAGTGCCAGACTAACAGTATTGGCAATGGAAGCCTCCTGTCCAGAAAAGTGCAATGCAGGAAGCAACAGTTTAAATTTCTGCAGCAGCTTCCCAATTTGGCCTCAACTGTATCCTGGAGGGACAGTTTCCAGGGATGATAGAGCAGTTCAGACTTTGTCCATCTAGTCTTCTGTCTCTTTACTGAGTCTACCAACAAGAGTAGTAATTTTGATGTGAACATATGTCTGGTACAGTCTTGACTGAGAGCTTTCCTTTGTTGCAGCGCATTGCACACTCATCTGAAGGCCATGAATGGCTATTAATCATTACCTATCTGTCTGGAATTTCAACTGGAAGTGAAGTAAAAGGTCCGTACCAGTACTCTCAGATATTTAGTCCCTTAGGAATTTGAGTTTTTGATGGGATTGTGTGTCATCAGCTTACCTTTATTCAAAGATAAAGATAGTAGTCACAGAAGAAAAAAGATGGGAGGGGAGCTGTTGAGGGTCGCTTTTTTTGTCACGGCAACTAGGCATTCCATGTTGCTGCAAGTAAGCCTGGTAAGACTCCAAAAAAAAGTGTCTTGTAGCTGTTGTTAATAGACTCTACTTGTTGAAACTTTCTAAAATTATATATTTTAGAAAATGAAAACATGCTTTCACGGTAAATTTTCATTGAAAGCATTTTATGCAGCACTTAAACGCTCAAGGATGGTTGCCCTTCCTTGTTAGAAAAAAAGGAGAACTTGTGGCACCTTAGAGACTAACAAATTTATTTGAGCATAAGCTTTCGTGAGCTGCAGCTCACTTAGGATATAGATATTCAGGCCTGTCTGTAAAGGCCTATATGCTAAGAATTTAGGTGTATTCTTATCACTTCGCTAGTTATAGAGGAAGAAAAGAAAGAATCAAAATCACTGTCTGCTGGTGTAAGGGCCTTCTCTTACTGTCAGGTTTCAGAGTAACAGCCATGTTAGTCTGTATTCGCAAAATGAAAAGGAGTACTTGTGGCACCTTAGAGACTAACCAATTTATTTGAGCATAAGCTTTCGTGAGGCCCTGTTCTTAGGCTACGGCCTTTGGCTAAGCGGCAGAGGCAGCCATAAGCTGGGAAGCGAACGGTCACATCCTCACATTCCAAACTCGTCACATTGACAGAAGGCAATCTGGGGCTGTTAGAAAGGTGATCTGATCTATCACCTCCAGAGAAAGGGAAGAGCCTAGAGGGTGTAAAAGGGTTTTTGATAGTTTTCTGTTCAGTAAGAAGAAAAGGAGTACTTGTGGCACCTTAGAGACTAACCAATTTGTGCCACAAGTACTCCTTTTCTTTTTTGCAAATACAGACTAACACGGCTGTTACTCTGAAACCTGTTCAGTAAGGACTCCCTTATCAATAGCTGGGATGTGAAATCCTCATTTCTGTGTTGTTCTATCATTGTAGTCCCCATTTCCCTATTGTTTGTATAATCACTGTCTGGTTCTGTGATTGTTTCTGTCTGCTGTATAATTAAGTTTGCTGGGTGTAAACTAATTAAAGTGGTGGGATATAATTGGTTAAATGCATGTTACAATATGTTAGGATTGGTTAGTTAAATTTCAGTAAAATGATTGGTTAAGGTATAGCTAAGCAGAACGCAAGTTTTACTATATAGTCTGCAGTCAATCAGGAAGTAAGCAGGGGGAATGGGAACAGGGAATGGGGGTGGGGAAATTGGAATCATGTTTTGCTAAGGGGGGGGAAACGGGAACAGGGACAGAGGCAAGGTTCTGTGGTGTCAGAACTGGGAAGGGGGACACTAAGGAAGGAAACTGGAATCATGCTTGCTGGAAGTTCACCGCAATAAACATTGAACTGTTTGCACCTTTGGACTTCGCGTATTGTTGCTCTCTGTTCATGCGAGAAGGACTAGGGAAGTAAGCGGGTGAAGGAATAAGCCCCCTAACATTCCTCCTCTTCAGTTATACAGTTTGGGTGA